TAGGGGCGCACATGCGGCGGCGGCGGACGGGAGTAGTTGGCCAGCGGCAGCCAGCCGGGCACCGGGACCGGGGCCGGAGCCGTCACCGTCAGAGACGGCGCGTCCGGGTTGTACGGCTCTGCGGGACAGACGACACAGACCGGAACCGGGTCAGCACAGGGAGACACCTCCGTCCGCCGCGACCCCCGACATCCCAGGAATGACCCATATCGGCCACACACAGCGTAACTGGACGCCCGGCTGACCAGACATTTACACCACAAAATGTGGCGTACACCATAACACCGGCCGGCGCAGTTCAGGCCGGGCTGGACCCAGCCGACCGCCGGCCGGTCGGTAAATATAACGATTTCATCACCACCCAGCATGCCAACCATATGCCAACACAGCGCGAGCGTACGGCCAGCCCGAATATAAAAACATGTCTTGCGTAACAACCGGTCTAGACGAGTTTAGGGCATAACGGTCATATATGTGTACTACGCATTAGTTGCGATTATTGAACATTTACGCATTAGTTTTCGGAGAATATACCGTGGAGACCCGGCCAGTAGCGTTCTGAAAGGGCGTCGTTCCGTTTATCGACCTTTTTCCGATTGAAGGTCTAACTCCCGACGACATAATCGCCATTAGAGCATTGAATTACGTCATGACTGTAATGAAGATTGATACAGCTTGACCCGAACAGTAACCACTCACTGAGCTGCGCCACGAGCAGCTTTAACACAAGTCTGTTGTGCAAACCCCACGCACCAATCAGCCCCGCACATCTCTAGTATCCACTCCGTCCGGCGCTTTCACCCTTCGCAGTGGCAGTCGGTGAAAGCCGGCTCCGCCCGCTCCGGTCGCGGGCGGCGCGCGGCGCACACCAGACCGGTCGGCCGCCCGCCCCGGGTCACAGCTGACCGCCACTCACCCACAACGGTCGGCCGCGGCGGCGGCTGCACCAGCGGGTTGAAGTGCGGCGGCACAGTCACTGGTGGCGCGCACACTACGGAGGCCGGAGGCGGCTGGGTGTACTTGAGGGCGTCGGGCAGCGGCAGCGACACGTCGTTCAGGATCACCGGGTCCAGGCCGTGGTCATACGGACACTGGTCGCCGCGCATACAGTAGCCCTTCTCTGCAGCGGGGCGAGACGGGGTAGGCGGTCAAATACACAAGGCAAACCGATAGTCTGGTTAGATGCTAGCGTGAATGCCCTCAACGCAGCCTACTTTAATGACTTATTTTAAAAAATCGTTTATTACCACCAAATGCGCAAAAAACAGCCGGGCTCTGATTGAAGTGTAGGACCAATTTGTAGACAATAATTAACTGACTATGATAAATACCAGTTAATGACTCTATTTTGTGGTTACAGCGTTTTAGGTCTGTTATTGGTAGCTAGTGAAAATCACAGGAAGAAGTATAAATGACATCGATCCGTCCCATACACCGTCGCCAGGTAATCCGCAGCCGACTGACCGTCGTAGTCTCTGCAGCGCTGTTTTCCGGACGCCCCGGAGGCATTGAGCTTCTGACGCAGATCCGAGACGGCCGAGCCCGGCTCGGGCACCCGCTCGGCCTCGGAGCCGGCCGGCGGCGACCGGTCAAACTTGACTGCAGACAGGCGCGCGCACAGGGTCAGTTGGGGTCAGTGGAGTGGGGATACACGAAGTCAGCTGGGGTAGATGCAGCGGAGCCTGCGGCCACTTACCGAACAATTACTGAGGCAAGAGCTCAGAAATGGCCTGCACTTCGGACGCAATCATATTTAGATTAGAAATCTATTCATCAAATGGATATCGTCTCAGTTTGTATGAGATGGAGACGAGCAGAACGGCTTTGTTCGCGAGTAGCGATGCCGTTTCGCAATAAACTATTGCCGTTTCACAATCACCTATCAGTGGATTAAAGAATAGAGCTCTCAGGTCACCAACCGAGAGCGATCAGATCTGTTGTCCATAACGACACTGCCAACCCAAACAATCGCCGTCCTGTTGGTCCCTCGGGGCGGCCTCTCCCACCTACCCAGCCCGTTAATCACGGCCGCCAACCCTCAGCATCGTCCGGCCGACCCCCGGGCGTTGGCCGCGTGCCCGACCTCCGCCCTCCCTCCCACGTCGCCCGTCCCCCGGTCAGCGGCTGGCCACCGGCCCGGTCCGGCCCCCTCCCCCGGCACCCGACCACTCACTGGGCGACTTGCTGCGGTTGTAGCGCGGAGATCGCGACCTCGACAGAGATCGAGAGCGCGACCGTGACCGAGAGCGGGGGCTGCGACTGCGCGACGAGCGCGCCGTCACCGCCGACTTGCCGCTCCTGGCCGGCGACTTGGACTTGGGCCGCGGCGGTGAGCGAGACTTGGTGCGCAGCCGGGGCGGTGACCGGGAGCGACGCGTTCTGCCGGCCGATACACACAGGATGTCAGCTACAGATAAACTACACACGTTCACGACATGAGTGCACGGACTTCCGACTATCGCTGTCAGCCACAGGATGTGCTCTCGATAATAAAGTGCGAGATGACGGTAATGAAAATAGCATCAAATGAATTAAAACAATCTTTTGAATTTGGATAAATAAATGCAACGAAAAAGGCATTGCAAATTGATACTATGCTTACCTTCAATAACTAACAAAAAAGAAATAACTCGATTTTACAATAAAATACACGGAAAGGTGCATAATAACAGTTCATTCCCTCAAGCACAGTCTGGTGCTGCACATTTACAGGGAATATGCCAGTGAGGGGAGGCGGACTGACCGTCGGTCGCGCGGCGGCGGAGAGCGGCGCCGGCGCTCCTCCCAGGACCGTTTCCTCTCCGGCCGCTCGGCACGCTCGTCCCGGTCGCGGGGCCGCGACGAGGGTCGCCGGTCGCCGCGGCCGCGGCCCGTGCCCTCGGGCTCTGTGACGCGCCGGCGGGCCGAGTCGGCCGGCACCGGGGCGGCCGCCGTGCCCGATACGCCGGCCGCCGCCTGCGTGGTCGAGTCCGGCGACGCCTGAGGCATGTACGACTTGGTCTCCAGCGTCTCGAACAGCCGGTCCACGAACGGCGCCGCCTGGTCGTGCAGGAAGATGTCCAGGTTGTTTTTCATGCTCTCACGTAGCTGTTGAGGCGGCATGTCTTTCTTGATCAGGGCCAGCACGTATTTGGCCAGCTTGCCGGGCTCAGCATCACACCTAGGTGAAGGGCCACAAAAACATTTAGACATGGCATGCAAACAAGACATTCAGACACTAAGTAAATCTGTCATAACAAAAATTTAAGTTCCTTGTCATAGCATTGTCACTAGGCACTTTGTCATGGAGTCCATCCAGACTGACAACATAAAAGACAATAAATGTTAGACATTAATCTTGCTCTAATTATTTGTCCAAACTAAACTACAATGGCTTCATTTCCAAGCTGAACAAGCATCTCTTAGTCCTGACAGACATCAGGAAAGATAAAAATCAACACAAAAAAACATTTTCATTCAATATTGTCACTTACAGAGGTTCCATTGTCTCTGTCATCCATTGCTTCAGGATTTCTGGTTTCTCCACAATCATGATGAATGTATTTTCAGGTACTCTGCAAAATGAAAGAGAAGATTAGATTTCCCATAATTGTGTGAACTAATTACTTATTCCTTTACAATCCCTAGCATTGAAAGCACATACATACAAACTTTGAGCCAAATCAGACAAGCAGTTTAGAAATTCCCCTTTAAATTCTCAAAAAGAATAAAATTTAGCAGGAAAACTCTAGCCTGTCATTCTAAAATGTCTAGCCAGAGCATCATTTATCTGGATTAGTTGGTTAATATCTTAAGTCAGAGATCTATGCTTGGATGTCTTTACATAGCCTGAAAAGCTGTGGGATATCAGGTGAAAATGTGCATATTTGTATAGGGTAACAAAAGTCTGTTAAACCTTCTTAGCTCGGCATTTTAGGAAGTCAAGTGCTTGCCGATGAGCTTACTTTTTTAAAGAAATTTAGCTCCAATGTTTAATGGACAGATTCACAGAGCTGGAACCCAACCAAGCAGAGCCTGTTGCATAGGCCTAGCTATGAATAGGCAGTCATGGGCATAAAATCTAAATTGGGCAATTCTAAGTAAAAGGAGAATTAAGACATATATACATATTGTGTGCCAATCAAAGCTGGGTATTGCACAGTGCACACCCTTATCAACTGACTTCAGCTGACTGCGGCCGCTCCCACCAGCTTCCAGACCAGACCATTCCATCACAAGTGATAAATGTTAAATAAAAAAAGTCATGTGTCAGTGTCTGGCAATTCCATTCAAACCGTTCTCACCACCCGCACTTGGAATCCAACAGTCAAAACTCTACAAACTGAGATACATGACAGGCAAACTAAACAAAAGCTTGAAAAATGAGAGCATATATGACTCCATCACAGACATGCATCACATCCAAGCTGAAGCCCGGCACCATATGTTGTACAGGTTGCAGTTCCCGCATGCCTCAACCTACCAATAATACACACCTGACATAAACAATCAAACATTTAGTTTAGAATTATTCTGTGAATTCTTATGTACATGTAAGCATTGACAAAACAAATGGTTCTGTCCTGATTGGTACACGAAACACCTGAATATAGGATTGCGCCACAAATGCAGGCTTGAGCATGCATCGAGAACAACATGAACCTGTCACCTACCTTTGAAGTGCGTAATACTAAGCAGAACAGGTGAATTGGTCTCAGCAGGACCAACCTATTTAATCAGCACACAAGCATTCCAATGACTAGGAGCAAACACGAATTATCACAATAGAAACGGCCACAGAATCCTCAGAATCCGATTGCTTCGAGAAATGTCGCCTGCCTCGTGCAAAACTCAATAGTGATGGTAATTTTCTGGGAACGAGTAATAAGTACTAGTACTTGTCGCTTTTATTTTCCTACTCAATATTTTTCACCATTTTAATTTTTAAACTTAATTTGAATCAACTTTTAAATTTTAATTTTTACCTTGAAATTGAATGAATAGATTGTAGTGAAAAAGCCATTTTCACTTGGAATTATTGTACAACGGAGTCAGCTGAAAACTGTTTGAAACGAACAATTATCCAGCCTTGAATTTGTGTAACCTTGTTGCCCGCCATAATCAAAACCAAGGCAGTATATTGACAGGGTATATTGACTGTATATTGATATACCATCAAAACTTTCTTTCGAGAGCGTGGGAAGCGCGCGCGTGGTGGTGGTCAGGTTGGTGAAAGTGGACGGGGTAGGAGGTAAGTGGTGTCTTCTGAGCATATGGTGGAAACTTCTTATTATTGTCTATTTTGGTAAAATGTCTGCATGTATATTTCCTGTTGGCTGTTGCCTGTTGGATGTACAGTCGTCCTCAAAATTATTCATACCCTTGTTAATTTACGACATATTTTGCTTTTTTGATGAAAAGAAAACATTTTGTCGAGCTTATTTATGATTTATATATGACCAACAGGGGAATGAATAACAGCAACATACAACTGACAAAATATTCAGTTTCAGGTCTGTTTTATTCATGAATCTTTGAAAACACTCATGTTCAAAAATATTCATACCCTTGGTTTTCAGAGTTCAGTGTCTTTCTTCAGTAGTCGATAGCATATCCTTTGTTCCTTATTACTGCTTCTAGTCGGTTCCTGTAGGTGCTCACAAGCTTGCCACACGTTTCCTGTGGGATTTTGGCCCATTCTTCCCTGGCGAAAGCCTCCAGCTGGGTCAGGCTAGTCGGTTTCCTGGCCGTCACTCGGGTCTTCAAGTCCCGCCATAGATTCTCTATGGGATTCAGATCAGGACTCTGACTAGGCCACTCGAGGACGCTGATATTATTGTCCTCGAACCATTCCTTGACTACTTTAGCCGTGTGTTTGGGATCATTGTCTTGCTGGAACTTCCAGTTGTTGCCGAGTTCCAGCTTCTCTGCAGATTCCTTCAGGTTTTCGTCCAGAATTTGGATATAGTCCTCCTTTCTCATGGTGCCCTGGATCCTGACGAGGTTTCCTGTGCCGCGGGAAGAGAAGCATCCCCACAACATGATGTTTCCGCCACCGTGCTTGACGGTTGGCACCGTGTTCTTGGGATTGTAGGCCTCTCCTTTACTCCTCCAAACATATGCAGCATCCATGTGCCCAAACAACTCCAACTTCGTCTCATCAGACCACAGGATGTTTGCCCAGAAGTTGGAATCTTGCTGCATATTGCCTCTAGCAAAGGCCAGGCGAGCCTTGCTAGAGGCAATATGCAGCAAGGTTCCAACTTCTGGGCAAACATCCTGTGGTCTGATGAGACGAAGTTGGAGTTGTTTGGGCACATGGATGCTGCATATGTTTGGAGGAGTAAAGGAGAGGCCTACAATCCCAAGAACACGGTGCCAACCGTCAAGCACGGTGGCGGAAACATCATGTTGTGGGGATGCTTCTCTTCCCGCGGCACAGGAAACCTCGTCAGGATCCAGGGCACCATGAGAAAGGAGGACTATATCCAAATTCTGGACGAAAACCTGAAGGAATCTGCAGAGAAGCTGGAACTCGGCAACAACTGGAAGTTCCAGCAAGACAATGATCCCAAACATACGGCTAAAGTAGTCAAGGAATGGTTCGAGGACAATGATATCAGCGTCCTTGAGTGGTCTAGTCAGAGTCCTGATCTGAATCCCATAGAGAATCTATGGCGGGACTTGAAGACCCGAGTGACGGCCAGGAAACCGACTAGCCTGACCCAGCTGGAGGCTTTCGCCAGGGAAGAATGGGCCAAAATCCCACAGGAAACGTGTGGCAAGCTTGTGAGCACCTACAGGAACCGACTAGAAGCAGTAATAAGGAACAAAGGATATGCTATCGACTACTGAAGAAAGACACTGAACTCTGAAAACCAAGGGTATGAATATTTTTGAACATGAGTGTTTTCAAAGATTCATGAATAAAACAGACCTGAAACTGAATATTTTATCAGTTGTATGTTGCTGTTATTCATTCCCCTGTTGGTCATATATAAATCATAAATAAGCTCGACAAAATGTTTTCTTTTCATCAAAAAAGCAAAATATGTCGTAAATTAACAAGGGTATGAATAATTTTGAGGACGACTGTATGTGTCTTCCATGGGCCTGGCGAATGAATGGCACCAGCGTGAGCATCACTCATCCAAGTCAAAGTTGACCCTGCCCACTATGTCAATGTTAAACTCCTGCGGTGAACGGAACAGCCCACCCTGACTCCTTCCACGTCCACCCCCCCTCCCCCCGCCCGGCCCCTTCCAACCCCCAGTTTCGGCCAATTGGCGATTTTTTCGATCGGGGCACCGACACGGCGCAGATTGAAGCAAGATTACTTTACTACTCTTGAAAGTTGAAGGACATTGGCAAATGGCATGGCAATGGTCAATAGTGAAGTTAATGTTCGTAACATATGACCTTCTTGCAACTGTCGACTCTCAGAAGAAAGATAAGGGTGTCCAGTACCTACACTTCATAATTCTTTTTCTCTCGAGTCGAAAGTTGACGAATCGAGAAGCAGGCGGGCACGGTCCGTCCCACTGACGGACTAGCTGGCAGCAGCTGCTTTGGCTAGTGGCTCCCAGCCAAGATTCTTTCAGATACTTCTAGCAACCGCAGAGCATCGAAGTGCGGAGAGGAGCCTTCATATATCGAGCGCCTGAACCACTCGAACCCTGGCTCTCACCACCGGAAATATGACGCTCTACCAACTGAGCTTCAGGCAACGGGACGAACGGATTGTTTCTCTTTATGAACATGCTATCTATTTGGTGTTCAACCAGGGCATTTGTCGCTACCTAGTAGCAGATACATGCAATTGCACGCCGTGCTAAGGTACGCTACATACACGCCAGCGATACCCAGGGTATGACCGTGCCCAGGGTTATCGGCATCCGCCAAGCGGGACAGTCTCGACCGCACGCTTCCTGTCGCGCACTCAAGGTGGCACTGGTGTGCGCCCTGGGGGCCAGGGCCGGCTGGGGCTACCCGATTTCTCAGGCCCGGCAGGTCAGAGGCCTGCTCCGGAACAAGAAGCGGGTGCGTGCCACCGACACACGCGACTGAACAAAAGGGACTACTTACGAGTATGTGAAGGCAAATCAGGCCCGTATCCCATGGGTGCAAAATGACCTCAGAAGTCGGGGCCCAGCAAACAAACTTAACAAACTTCACCGATCCCTCCGATATAACCGGTCCTATCCTCAGAACATTCGTGCAAATTCTTCTCCTCAACACCTCAAAGCACGTGATGCGGGCTGGACGGTCACCTTATTCTGACGCGAGTGGCTCCTTACGAACAGGCTGTGGTGCGGTGGGGTGATCGTTAGCGGGGCTGAGTGACCCGCCCATCCAGATTGGCTTATCCTCGGCGGTCGGCGACACATCAGGGTCCTCCGGTACGTCGTTTCCATCGTTAGGATAGTCAAATCCTTCTCCACGCCTCCAACCCTGTTCCGGGCTGGACGGGCAACTTTATCCCTTGCGGGTAGCTCCACATCTGGAGCACGCCCGTAGCCGGGTACAGTGACTGTTACGGGACTGGGTGGCTGTCCAGTGTCCACTGATCGAGTTCAGCCTCGACGAGTCACCAAGTCACCCAGACTAGTGTCTCTCCCTAATTCCTATCATCCTTCCGGCCCCGAAATGGTCTCGTCAGACTGAAAGAGCCTAACCCAGCAAAAAAAAAAAAAACATCAGGGTGGCCGCCCAGGCTAACTTTTAATCCCTAACATCCCTCCAGCACTTAAATGCTCATATCAAACGGAAAGGATCTAACCCAGCAAAACTTTTATAACCAATGCCCCTACAGCCGGAGACGCTCCCAAGTTCCTGGCACGCTGTTCTCTATATGCTCTGGCTGGCTCGGCGTTTATCCCCGCGACCGAGGGAACACTCATCAGTGAAAAGTTCGGAAAATCGGGACCTATTAGAACGTCGTAAAGTGTGGCTGCTATGCGGTTTTTCGATGTGCTGGTCACGAACATCATGTTAATTTTGATCATAGCCCTAGAACGCCTAGGGGGGGGGGGTTGTATCAACCCCCCCTGAGGTTTTTTCGAAGTGCACGCTAAACAGCTTGTCGTAGCGGGCTGAAATTTTCAATACCCTCTGGGGCAACCTTTGCGCATCTTTTGCCGAAAAAAAATTGATCGGGTCATGTCAGGTCACGGAGTTATGACGTCATAAGAGGTACAGCCTCCGGCCGACAGTTACCAAACGTGTGCGCCGAATCCCTAGGTTTTCTGCCGGTGATACCCACATTGTTTGATGGATCATGATGAAACTTCCCATGCATGTTGGGGCAAGCATTGGCTATCGTGTGGTGCAAGAAAATTGACCGGGTCAGGTCAGGTCACGGAGCTATGACGTCACAAGAGGAACAGCGTCCGGTACTATTTTTGAAAAGCGCCCGAACCACTATTTTGCTAATTCTTGTCACCTCAATGGGAATATGCAGCAATATTAGCTTCTATAGGGAGCAAATGGACCTCCCAAATCCAAAAATACAATCAGATTTCAAAAATTTAAATTTTGATTTTTCGAATTTCTGCCGCCGACTGTGACCTTGCCGACTTCCGGCGCTCCCAACGAGCCATTTTTAGAGCTAGGGAAACGAAATACATACCAAACGATAGAGAATTGATCAAGGAACACGATAGTGAAGGTTTCAAGTCGATATCTCCCACCGTTTTGCCGCAATCGCCGCGGAAAGTTGAAAAAGTTTGATTTTTTCGGAAAATTTGACCTTTGACCGGTCATAAGTAGGTCAAATGTTGACCTAGGACCAAAAAATATACCACCAATCGCGAGATCTCGTTGAGAGCAATCCGTTGGTTTTTTCCGCTAAGCTCTACGACCTTCCGTTTCGAAACGCCAGGGGGGGTCGTAACAACCCCCCCCCCTGGTCGTTCGTGTTATGAGAAATGGCCTGGTCGTGCGAGGGATAGATTATGTCTTCATGCATTTAGGCCAGGTCGGGTCAGGTCAGGTCAACCAGAAGGGGTCCTGCCGGGTAGTAGGTGTCAACCGCCTCTGACAGCTTCGTAACATGTTACGAAGTGTTACGAAGGCACCAAAACTACTTCGTTAATGTTCATATGGTTGCTAAATTCGAATTCAGCTCCAAAAACTGGCCTAGAAACCTGTAAAACTCGAAAAAGTGAACCGAGGTCATCAATGGTCAGTGACCTGACCTGACCTTCAGGTGACCTTGACACCCACCCTTTTGCATGGGGGCAACATCATAACACATGTTTGAACGCTTGAAACCACGAAAAGACTGCAAACGCGCGGCTAATGCGAGCCGACATACACCGAATCGCGATTCCGGCAAAACATGGTCTCGAAAAGTAGGTGACAGGTCAAAGGTCATTTGGGTCAGGGTCATGAAATTTTCAGCGTAGGTGTAAAATTGATCAGCTCGAGGGTACTGAAAGTTTCGTCGCGATCGGCCGCTTTTTTACGCGAGTTATACGCGAAAAACCGAGGGGGGGTCCCTTCCCAAGACATTGTAATAGTTTTGCTACATATTTTCCGGATTTCCGTTTCTGTTGTATACAAACACATCAATGCAGCGATCCTGACTGCAAGAAAGTTGTACAAACCTGGTGTATGGTATGGCACTTACATATGTACATTTCTAGGTTTGTAACGGGTTACCATGATAGTTACGTCTTCAGGATTGTTAAGTAAGTCATTAAAAAAAAAACTAACAAAAAAAAATATTAATGCATTTCTGAACATCTTCTCCTTGTCTTGCATTTGTGTACCCCTTTTGCGGAATGCGGTATAGTTCGTGTCATCGTTCATGTGTTGATAGATCCGGAGCATGCGCAGTATCGGTGCAGTTCGGAGCGTCACTACGACGATTCTAAAGGCTGCGGATCTATGACGCTCTTCTCAGTCGCTCACTCGACGTTAGCTGGAGAGCAGGCAGGCATTTCTTTGTCGTCGATATTGGATAGCCAGTGATAACCGTAAAATCATCATAGGAAAGTCATGGAAGGCAGTAGACTACTTGTGTTATTTTTTGATTGCCCGGATGGCAACGTGCACTGAGTCGACAAATTGTTTTTGGTTCTCGTTTCATGTACCGCGTACTCTGCAACAGTTAAAAACATCGTGTCATTGCCGTGTTCATAAGTGTCGGAGCTTAGATGAGGTATCACCCCGTCTAGATTTCCTCGTAATTGCGCGGTAATTGAAATACCTGTCTTCTGCTCCACAGCCTCCGCTAATCGCTAAAATGGACTCCAGAGACAACGATCCAGTTCCGTCCTCCGAACAAAGCACTGGAACTGCCGGCTCCGGGGCATCAGACAAAAGGTAAAATAATAATAAACATTACGCTATATATCACCCATCGTCTTCTGATGTCTTCACCGAACATTCTCAAAACATCAGATAGGGAATCGGTCTTATGGTGTCATCTCTCCACGCCTTTTTTCAACGATGTACTTGAAGGGTCGCCTTCTGCTTTGTGCTGACTTTGTCCGCCCCGACATTTTCTTCAATTCCTGCTTCGTAATTATTCTTTGGAAACGGACTTAGGCCGTTGGCCTCGGATTTCACACCTACTGCCATCGGTGTTCGGTCCCGTGTCATATTACAACCGAAGGCATGGGCGTCATCTGACCGCCCCCCCCCCCCCCCTGCTCCGCCCAGCGACTCCGCCGTCAGTATGAAGCGCTCCGGCTACCTGGAGTGGCAGGAGTACTTTATGGCCATCTGCTTCCTGTCGGCGATGCGCAGCAAGGACCCGGCTACCCAGGTCGGCGCGTGCATCGTGAACGACGACCGCAAGATCGTCGGCATCGGCTATAACGGCATGCCTCTGGGCTGCAGCGACGACCGGCTGCCGTGGAGTAAGACGGCCTCGGACACGCTGGACACCAAGTACATGTACGGTGAGTCACGGTCAGTCACGGCCGTCTCACGGCGGCGGTTTGTCGCCGTCACTACCGTTTCTTGTTGATGATGATGCATGGTTGCATGGGGTTTGTATTACATATGGTGACAGTCTGGGTGTCTGGAACGGCTGAGGTGGGAGATAGGCCGATGACTAATGCTCGCATTTTCTGAATGGTATAAACGAGTATTCGAATTCCTTGCAATGAAATGGGGATGGGGCAGAATGCTTTATATCCACTTCCTGTTAATAATTAAGTCATGTGGTTCAAAAGCTAGGCACTTGATGAAGACAACACTAATAACACTGGTTCTATACCAACACCCCGGGTCCCCGAGGCGCGTCATTGAATGTTCTTCCCCTCGACACCTTAGTCGCTGAGGATGCTTTGTTTAGATAACATTCGTAGTAAGACTAGAGAGACGTAGTTTCCTTTACTGTTTATGAACTGCAACCATAACAGGAATTTGTTTATTTTTCTGTATGTACTCTTCGGTGTGTATTTTATCATGGTAGTTCACACTCCCTGCAGTCTGGGACTTTTTTTGTAAACATTCAGGCGATCCGGAACAGATAAAACTGGTTGTATCGCGGTCAGTCATCTGGGGGTTTTCTTGGCCTCTGTTGAACTGCGTAATTAGTTGACCGTCCGGCTCAGGGACCCGGGACACCATCAGCCAGCCACTCCCGCCTCTCGGTGGGGGGTGCTACCCCTGAGCTTTTTTTTAAGATTTCTTAGAACGCGCTGCAATTTGGCAAACCTGGCCTTTGATCCAAGCCAGCCATTTTGGCAGCAACTTTTGGCTTTTCAGGGTAAGTCACTGATTCACGACGTTATGTCATAACTGAACCTTTGCACGGTCTGAAAATGTCCAAACTTCACAAGCTCTCAGTGACCGGCAATATTTCGCAGCGAGATGGAACTTCACGGATGCAGCAGCCTCTAGTCCTTACATCTTACTTACCTCGGATTTTCCATAGGGATCACCGGTGATCATGCCATCATTGATTCAAAGGGAAATCGTGAAACTACTTATTTGGCGCCGGATATAATCTAATCCTATCTCAAGGATATGGGAATCATGACTCCATGCTTATGGAAGGAGAATGGGCATACACAATAAGTATCTACAGAAAAAGTGAACCTAACATCTACCTTTACAAAGTATACACATACTATCAGCACGATGCATGGTATGGGAATGTTTATACCGCATGCCTTATGTGGGGTATACATACATGCATACGTATCGATAGAGCCTGTGGACTGTAACGCGCAGGAGCGGAAGGTCGCGGTAACCACCAACCACAGTTGCTCTGAGATTGCAGGCATTTTGTCACATTGTAAGTGCGACAGCTTACTTGCATTGCAGCAGGCCGGCTAGAATGCGTAATGTGTTTGTGTGGCCTGCTTTTTTGCGCGTTATGACTAACTGCATGGTATGGTTTTCGGTGTTCGTGTGCGGGGTGCATGCGGAGTGCGGACTACGGAAAGCAGCACTCGCTGCATGCTTTGCTTGCTTTTGTGTGGATGTTTTGATAGATCGCCAAATAAAGATCTAAAATTGAGCCGTTTTATATTATCTTAGACCTCATCTTAGCTGAAAGCTATATCACCTTGTGCTGGAGTTGAGCAACTGAAAGTATAGACAGTTATACCTTATCTTTATTTGTTTAGCCGATTACCGCATTTGTGCTGTGCATGCTACTTGAAGCCACTGTACTGTTTAATGGTTGATGCAATTTTAGTATGCCACGCCGAGATGAACGCCATCATGAACAAAAACTCTGCGGATGTCAAGGGCTGCACCATCTACGTGGCACTTTTCCCCTGCAACGAGTGTGCCAAGCTCATCATCCAGTCAGGTATGTTAGTGAAACAAGCGTGTGTGTTTTGCTCTATGTCCTACATGATTTATTTTAGAGTTTCAATGTTATGTTTGGTGTTAAGCTATACCTCTTGATAGGGGTGTGCGAACCGGACATTCCGAGATTGTGGACCGGATATTGCGACGGCTTAGATAGTTTATCAGTTTTCACTGCTATCACAAGCTCGTGACTAGTCTCACATCTCACGATGCATATGTCATACCTACTGGATAGTGGATATCCTCTCTATGTCATTGACCATTCACCCTACCCTTTACGTTATACTTTTTCAGTTAACCTTATCTCTTTTTATGTTTCAGGCATTCGCAAAGTTGTGTATGCGTCTGACAAGCACGCAAGCAAAAAATCTACCATAGCATCTAAACGTCTTTTGGAGATGGCTGGAGTCGAATGCTGGTCAGTATGTCTGTTTCAGCGTTTTAACTAACCCTTGTTTGAGTTACTAAAAAAATCAATCGTAAATTAAACGATTGGCTAATTTTTGATATTGTAAGATGATCTTCAGGGAATATATCATGGGAGAGGCGCCATCTAGAAGAGGCGATGGTGGCATAATGTCGATAGCTTCTCGATTTTCTTTCTTTCCATATCTGAATTGACCTTTGGAGAGAATGAGAGGGAGGTTTTTGACTTATTTATTTGTCCGTTTTTCGGTTTCTAAGTCATTTATTGGTTTCGTTTCGAATTTTCGACCTTTGCAGCGAGGTCGATATAAAAACTTTATGTTTCTTGGAAACGACTTCTATGTAAAGAACAAAAAACCGAAACGAAAACAATCCTCCGTTCTGTCGCTTCCATCCTCAGGAAACTCAAATCTTTCTCCTCCACGCCGCAACCCCTCCGGGCTGGACAGGCACCTTTATCTCATGCGGGCTGCTCCCTTGGAGCGGCACCGCTGCTCCCGAAGGAGTGCACCCCGTAGCCGGGTGCAGAGAGTGCTTGGGGGGCTGGTCGGCCTGTCCATTCGGACGGGCTCAACCCCGGCGACTCTCTAGGGTGTCTGCCCAAGATCAATGTCTCCCCCTAATTCCTATCATCCTTCTGGCTCTGAAATGATCTTGCCGGACCGAAAGAGGCTAACCAAAAAAAAACAAAAAAAAACGAAAGCAATAAACGACTATTGCAGTAGCCGAATAACGAACATTTATATAAGGTGTTAAGTCATAAAAGCTTGAAATCATACCTACATTATCATTACTATATGAATCGTCAAGTTAGGCAATGCTTTTGCTGAAGCATTTCGAAATAGTATGTGCGTGGACGTGTACGAATCACGCTGCCCTTGCATCCGTTGCAGCCAGTACGAACCGAAGCGTCGCCAGGTTGTGATTGATTTCGACGTGATCGACCGCAGCGGTCTGAGCCAGCTGCCCGACTCGCCGCCGCGGCAGAGCCCGGTCCCGGGCCCGCAGCCGGAGCCGGCGGACTGCGCCGACTCGGTGCGCCGCAACCTGAGCGCTCTGATGGTGGACCAGGCCGGGCACGAGGGTCTGTGAGGGTCCGCGAGGGTCTGTGACGGTCTGTGTGGACCTAACTGAAGGGACCGGACGGGGATGCAATCACCAACTGAGTGCAGAACAGTGCCCGACAAAATGTGTGATTTTATGACTGATCTGATCTGTTAGGTAGATATTTATGTGATGAGTGATTGGCGTTAATGCGATTACGCTAAAATAACGCTAGTGAATGCGTCTCCAAACGATATTACCAGCTCATACGCGAGTACGAGAGCTTGAACTCATCACCCAGCTGGGATATAGTAATTTATAACCTTTGTGCTGTGTCATGTGCCTTGTGCAGTGCCTTCGGCTGTCTGTCTATGCTGTGCAACTACTGCAGATGTAATGATGCTACCTTTTTCATTTTTCCGGTTTTATGTGGCTCCAGCGACTATGGTGTCTTTCACACTGGTCACATCGTCTGTGGGTCAAGTGACGTTTGATGGGTCATAATTAATCGCCCACTGTGGTTTGGTTTGGCTTTTACGTTTGATTTGGGACACCGCACCAGCGTGTATTTGTGATTCATGCATTTGACATTTTAATTGCTGGTCATGTTCGCCATTTTGCATCATTGAAAATATAGATCGCGCTCGGTGGTCTTTTTATTTTGTTGGGTGTTCGCGCTGGTTTTGGAATGAAACCAGTCATTGAAAGCCAGAGAGGGATTTTCTCCTTGTCATGACCCGAGACGACCCTCACAGCGTTGCTTCACCCTCTACTGTTAACGCCAGACCCCTTGAGACCCTAATTTTTCGCGATTACTTTTAAATGCGTGAAGGAATTTCAACCAAGCTCAGGACATGGCCGTTTCAAGACAGGCCGAAACTTTTACAATTTAGATATTTTATCGCCATTTCAATATTTCAGGCACTTGTCATTGACTCGTAATGTTAAATTTCGAGCAAGATTTTCATCCGGTGTGTAGAGGCTATCACCAGTCAGTCTGTGATACGTTATGACGTCACAGCTAAGCCCCGCCTCTGTGGTCTTGGCCTGCGGCGGTTTCGGGCCGGCGCGCGGTCACTCTCGCTGTGGCGGGGAGCGGGGACGGGCGACGGTCGAGCGGTGCCGAAAGCCGGCGGAGTTGTGCGTAGCGTCTTGGCTGACAGTGCCCAGAGAGCGACATGATGACTAAGGAGTCATAAATGCTCAATGCGCATTGCTTCTACAATGCTGATATGTTCGCTGATATATATTTTTTTATAAGCTGCAAATGACGGGCAGATGGCATATAACTGACATAAGGTTAGGAAATATTCACCTGTATTTAAAGCCTATGGCGTTGCAGATAATGCGATAATGGGATGTCGGATGTCACCAAGTAGCTGCCGATTTGTACATCGCTATGCAACCATCGAACAACGCAATAATAAGTTAATTGCCTGAGCTTCACATCATACGGCTCGCTCGTATTTCAAACAGATACCCTACATCGAAAATCGTATTTGTTTGGAATCGTTAACGTTTGTTCGAAGCACGACTGAGTAGTAGGTTGAGGAGTGATGGTCGGCTCTTGGTCCTATATACAAGAGTCAACAAGAGCCTAACATTTACTTGACCGTCTGCTGCAATTGACTCATAGCACGTGAAGCGTCAGCGTAATTCATAGTCCTTCACAGATGGCAGGGGTGTCGTTTGTACAGAGGTCGCTGATGGGCACGGGTCAATGCCGCAGTCGTGGGCGGAGCCTAATGTCATATGACGTAGAAAGCCTCTATCCAGGATGGAAAAACAGTTAACATTACGAGTCAATGACAAGTGCCTGAAATATTGAAATGGCGATAAAATATCTAAATTGTAAAAGTTTCGGCCTGTCTTGAAACGGCCATGTCCTGAGCTTGGTTGAAATTCCTTCACGCATTTAAAAGTAATCGCGAAAAATTAGGGTCTCAAGGGGTCTGGCGTTAACAGTAGTTCTATCGAAGGGGCGCCCCGAGCTGTTGACGTCAAACAGCCTCCGTGGATAGATATCCGTACCTAAATAGCCTGGTATACCCGTGACAATCATGAAGTAGTGACTAGGAAAAGATTACCACTTTCATCATACACCCGACTAGAATCAACAACTGTCCTTAAGCTATCAGAGATGAGTCATCCGCCTTTAGCCCCCACACAACAGTGCGGAGAAATGGTAGAGGCGCGCCGTGTGATGTGGTTGGTTGAGCGCCATCTCGAGACGAGATCGCGGAACTCGAACCCTACCCCAGTGCCCTCTGGCTCCGCGCACGTAAGCGACCGGTAGCCTGCCGCCATCTAGCAGAACCACTAAGAAATAGTCCGTTAGAAGTGGCACCTCGCATCACCAAGGGACACTGTCGCTGAAATTGGAGCGTGGGTTGAGAGTAGGACGAACCCATCCGCACCATTGATAAGTGATCATACGACTTTTCTAACGGTCACCTCACCAGACGACTGGTGGAGGACGGAGGAGAAACCCGAGCGGGGCACATCACCTCCGGGGAAACCGTACGAGTGTGCGGGGGCCTTTCTCATCGGGACAACTCGTACCAACCGGGGATGAGCTCAGCCGCGCGGCACACCAGTAGGTCGACTCAGCCAAACGTCTCAACGCTAACCTTTCATCCCACCGCCCTGAAACGGTGTCAATATAACGACTGAGGCCAGAGCAAAGCAAGGCAAAATATGAAATCAGGTGGCTGCTTTCATATTGTAAGATCGAAGGGTGTCAGTAAGATGTGTGCTTTTTCATTTGGCAAAGGTTTTTTATTTGCGCGTCTCGCTGCGTTCTAAAGCCAATCTGTTTGACAATTGCTATGATAGGCTTTGAATGTACCTACTAGGTACTGTTTGAATGCTATACTGAATTTAGATATTTCATCGCACGCCTTTTTGTTACAGCTTCAAAACCAGTGGCGCGGGAACCGGGGGGGGGGGGGCTAGCGGGGGCTGAGCCTCCCCGCCAGCTTTTCGGCTGGGGGGACTCGTAATGTATTTGAGCCCCCCCCCCCCCCAGCTGGAGGAATCGAAATCGGAAATCTACCAACATAATTTCATAGATTCATACAAAGGCGCGGGAACCGGGGGAGGAGGCAGTGGGGGAAGATTGCCCCCACAACTCTGCGGCCGTGGGGCGGTGCCCCACAACTTTTCATGAGGCCAGGAACCGTTGCGCAGCTTGACCTCCCCAAATTAGGGGTTGTGGGTCACAAAGGAAGAAAGCATGTAAGTGAAAAATCCACCTCTTTCACTGGCTCGGCTACTCATTTGGCAGATTAAAACCTTTACTCCAGGCTGCCAAAACGGTAGTTTCTTCACTCAGCTGAGACGGAATACCTCACTTTGTTGCTTTTTTTTTTGTTGGAAAGGCCAAAGTCTGAAAAATAAGTGGCCTAAAACCGGCGAGAAAACTAGATTTGGGGGTACCCTAGGTTGATCTCTATTATGGTTCAGCCCCCCAGTCTGGAAGAAGTTCCCGCGCCACTGTTCAAAACAAACCCAACATAGTTATGCGGCAACTCGACATGGGGGTCCAGGTTAAATTCGTTGAAATCGGGTGCAGGTGTTCAACCTCCATATCCGCATTTCAATGTACCTATTGCACCACAAACTAACTGTGCGAGTAGCTGTAATGATACTGCAGCTGCAAAAAGCCGATCAGTGACATAAATTTTGTTATGTGAATTTTTCCCTATCGCTCCGTCTGTTGGTACCGTAGTCCAGCCGTAGTCCGCCGATTTCCGTGATCCGTTGATTCGCCGTGGTCTACGTGTCGCTTTCCATGGTCCGACCCGACGATAGGTAACGCTGATTCGCAGTAATGCTCACCAACGCCTGCCTGTGGTGGTGCTTTCTGAAGCGCTATTGGTGGTACAGGGTACTGTGTGGTAGGTATAGGTATGTAAGGAATGAGGGTCGTAGACTCCTTGTCGAATTTCCCCTTATCGGTTTAATTTTAGCGGTAGGTATTTATTTCCGATGCTAGTTTGCACCGTTGCAGCTAGAATTCCTGTCGAAAGTCACAAAGGGTCTTCGACTCTGTCGGTCCGTGCAATGCTTACGTCGGTCTTTGTCGTAGATTCTGACGAGCATAGTTAGGATACCGAGTCCTTGGCATCTTTACCTATCCCCGCAAATATTCGAAAATATTCCCAGACTGAACAGCCATCTGACATCATGTGCTTGCTATCTGAGCTGCATTAGCGCGTACTTCCGTAAATTTATCCAGAAAACTAGTCTTTCGGTTCTTGTTCCACTGTCCCAGTTGCTTTGTCGATAATGTTTCACGAGCGACTCCTGTGTCGAGTTCCTCGTTTGTACGAGCCACCCTGTCTGAGAATTTATGAAACATTGGCCCGTGCATTGTGCAGAATAGGCTCTGGAACGATTTACATAAGGTGGTAACGTGCCACATCACATCGGTCCTCTCCTGCCAGTCGCAGCCATCGCTTGCGATACACCGAAATTACGGATGCAAATTTAAACAGCGCTTGAAAAGATCGGTGCCTACACATGAAAGATGGCAGGATCTTACATTGCGAGTGCGATCTGTCGGTTTCGCGAAACGCGTTGGCTACAATTCTCGACATTTAGGTAAGAAAGTGTCATTTTCTGCAACTCACCACCGATGCGTAAGACTTGGCACGAGGAGCTGCTGTGGTTAGTCAAAATCGCTGCAAAACACCGCCGGTTCAGCTTAGATATACCCTGCAGTGTCAGATACCCCGTATACCTACCAGTAGCATCATCCGCGGATGACTGATGGCTCGGTATTCCCTCAGTGCGCACTCTATCTTCAGTCACCTATTTTGAATAACCCGACACGCCACCCGGACCACATTTTGGGGTTCCCCGGCGGTACCCGCGCACTGGAGCAGACCCGGCCACCTCCGCGGAGCGGTTCGGCGTGTGGCCCCGTCCCTCCCGGAGCAACCTCCCGCCCGGCCGGCAGAGGTCAGCGCGGGTCACCGCTGGAGCCGGGGTTCTTGGGATTAATGACGTCACTGCTCCGCCAGCTGATGCTCGCTGGAATGGATGATCACATCGAGGAGGGTCGCCCAGAGCGGGATCATCGAATCCCTCCTTTGTGACGTCACTGTCCATAGCCTGCGGCACTTCAGACCGTCTGAGTGCACCGTGTTTTAACTCTGGCCAAAAACTGGCCAGGACGCGAAATATCGACTATTTTTAAACGTTTTCATTTGGCCACTATCGTGTTTAAAAATGATCAGAGCATCTTTAACGACGGAAATTTTTATTCTCTTTATTTTTGAAAACGTTGAAAATGTACAACAAAGTCAGACAACTCTCAAAAGCTAAACTTCGGCGAACAAACGCAGAAACAGTCGCCTTGCTTCACATCAACATCTTCGAGCTTTGGATTGACAAAACTATATAATTTGGGTACCAAACGATAGCGCGAACTTTTTTCTTTATAACGAGTCATAATTTATACAATTATGATGCACATAGGTGTTACATTTATTGATTTCCGTCAGCCCATACATTGGCACACTTTTTTGAAAAATGTCAATGTTCTTATAGAGCTACAAAAAATTGTACGCTAGTGTACGGTCTCAGACTACCACCACACTGTGGGCCAAGGAGTTGTCTACATGTCCTCAAAATTTCAGCTGCG